AAAACCGTATGGAATACAAAAAAACCGAGACCACCTCCAGTGTTGGGCTTTACATGCTCTACAAAATGCAAAAAAGAATGGGTCTCTAGCATTAACGGTTCCCGAATTAGAGACAGTTTTCAGTTTCGGTATCTTATGGCCGCTACTCCCGTGAAAATGCACCGATTGACCCCAAATTCATGGAGATGAAAGATGACCTGAAGGGTAACACCTTCCAATAATATTATTGGTTAAGTCTGTGTGGTGTCTGAATAACAGGGCAAAAAAAATTTTTTTCGTAAAAAATTTCATTTTTTTGAAAATTTTGGCCCATTTGACCTTGAAGTAAAGGTCAAAGGTCAAATCCAAGGGTATATTTGAAATCTACACATATGACTTTTGGAAAGCCGTCTATAGAAATTTTTCCCATAACTCCTTCCGTAGGGTAGATAATTAGCATTTAATTTTGCCATTTTTAGACAAGGGTGCATTGCAATGAGTGCCACACCCAGACCCCAATACCAACAAAGCCCAAATTTTACGTGGAACGAGTTGAGATTATAGGTGACCTAAATCCATGAGATGGGTACGGGGGCCCTTACCGTCTAGGAGGAGAAGCGGTAACGGTAGCCGTCCGGCGGAGCCGGCGGAACGATCCGGACGGGACCGAAACCATGTGTACCGCCAGCGCTAACGCTGGTGGTACAATAAAGCAAATATTTTAATAATAACTAGCATCATACAAAAAGATTTAACTTTATCAGAGATCATTTTAAAGTATGCCTATTAAATAAAAATCACATTCAATTGTAACACAAATTTTATTAAATTCTTTACAAGATATTTTTCTTCAATACCTTTCCAGTTTCTAAATTCTCAATTATTAAACCAAGAATTTTTTACCATTATATTTTTCCATTCTTATTATTGTCATCCAGTGAATTCTAATATCTTATCTTTGTATCGTTCGTATCTTTATCACTAAATGAACTTAAAAGAAAAATAATAACTTCTTAATCAACTGTAAGTTCTTTTCTTCAGTATTCACTCACCTAAACACTGTAAGCTGTAGTAACACAGCTGCGGCAGCTGCTACACTAGCATTTAATATATGTGCTCTATAGGCTACATTCCCCACTGGGAGCAGGCTGATGGCCAGCTTGCTGATCATGGTAAATAGTGGGTAGCCCGGAGGGTGGGGCACCTGTAACATTATTATACATGCTCAAGTGTTTTACAGTACCAGCAGTGTGTGTGTGCTCACACATGTGCGTGCACATGTATTATGGCTGATGAATGTTCACAGGAAATCATATAATACTGGGAAAAGTTATGGCAATTTATGTACACAAACATTATGAACTCAACATGTGTTCTACAACTCAAATACTTTGGCTTAACTAGCAGAACAAAGTGCAATGCAGAGAGATTATGGCTTTTTCCAGGCACTCATCATGAAGAAATGACCACATAGAGACAACTGGTAAACATCCTCGACCACAACAATTGGAACACTGACCTCTAGGAGGTCAAGCATTCATAACTATTTTCATATATGTTTTGTAAACGGAAAAGACACACAGAAAATATGCCTACAAATAAATAAATGAATAAATATATAGAATCTGTCTCATTTTTTTCTAGTAAGAAAATAAATTAAAATTTTATTTGACTTTAAAATTTTTGTCCATTACTAAGTATAAATGGGCCCTGATAAACGGTAAACCACAACCTAATGCAACTTGTTTAATGCATCAGCACCAAGGCACTTACGTTTTTTACTTACGCAAATTCAGCTCTACTCAGTCTGTTCAAAAGTTCATGCAGCTTAGTGGTTTTTTGATTGTCATGACTAAAAGTACCCTTATATATACAAGATATTGCTGAAAACCACCAGGAAAGCGTTGTGAACTTCACCTGCATTTCAAAAGGAAGCCTACTGAAGGCATTATGGATAGGGGTTATATTGTTGTGCATGAGGTGAGTTTTAGAAAAAGAAGTTTCTAATTTTTGCCTATACTCTATTAGAAATATTTAACACATTAGTAGGTTGAAATTCTTATGAGAGAGAGAGAGAGAGAGAGAGAGAGAGAGAGAGAGAGAGAGAGGGAGATGAGGGTCAGAGCAGTATTTCTTAAACTTCTTGTTTAATTCAACACAAAAAAAGTAAACTTTTTTTCCTCTTTTAAATATCAGCTGAATGAGACTATTATGCTTTGGCCAGGCTACTAAGTTGTCAACCCCCAAACCATTTTAGTACAGTTAGATATAATACTTGGTGTGAAAAGGCCATTTTTCCTGTACATAACACTCTTTCCTTATTGCTTTATCAATGGCAAGGCTGTTGGAATGTAATGGTATAGATTGTTTATTATTTGAAACTTTGGTCACTTGTTAGTATCAATAACCTGTCGTAATAATGATTTGAAAGCAGAGTTGACAGTCAAATGTGCAATCAAGATAACTCGGCAACTATCTAGTTCTTAGCAATACTGTAGCACTATTTAAATAAAAGCAATGGTCAATGGTCCAAGGTCACTAATTTGCCAGCTGAGCCATTAATCTTACAGACATAAAGATCAAGCGATGTTTAGCCTCATCAGTGAACTAATTTATCCTTTTGAGGTCAGGAGTAATGGTTACCATTCAAAGTGAATAAAGTATTTTCCTTATTTAAAAAGTCTGAATATTTAAGCTGGTCCAGTATGTGTAAGGTGTTTTTCACATCTGATGCTATAATTAAGAGATACAGTCTGTATTATTATATTTGGAAGGTCCTAATATGTGATTATGATACAGGGTGTTTTATTTGCTTTGACATATTAGTTTGTTACTCTTTGGGTGGAAGCTGATAAATTGATTGTATCAAGGGAAAGGCTATGTTTAGGTGACTTTCTTATGTAAAAGAGAGGCTAATAAGTTAATTTTTCATAGTGTAACAACACACTGTATTGAGGAAGTATACTGCTCGATGTGAAAAAGGCCTAATTCTTGAAATTTACTGGCCTAAATTTATTCAAAACATTTATGCAAATTGTGACCCTTATCAGCTACCTTGGAAATATTGAGAAAAAACTAAAGCATAATTTCCCAACTTACCCCTAATTCATGAGCAGCCACAATAAGTTCTCCTGAAAAAAAAAAGCTCTAAATAGAAAAAACAACTACAACAATGAATAGTTCCTACCAAATTAGCAGGAAAAATGATTTTCATTGCCATGTTACAGTATTCTTTCTTTTAAAGATATTTTGAAATGGCTAAAAAATATAGCTAGACTCTTCACAAGAAAATAATGCTTCCTAAGGAAAATCACTTACATTAATGGCATTTTCTTCCTTTTCAATAGCAAAATTTAATAGCACAATGTTTCTAAAACTTAATTGATACTCAAGAAGCAGATATTAGGGTCACTGTGTGTTTATGTGTATGTGTGTTGTGTGTGTGTGTGGGGGGTGGGGGTGGGAGAGGGGGGATGAGGCAGGTAGTTATCCATATACAGAAGTCCCTATACCTGAGTCTCCTCCAGGCAGGGAGGGATGAAGGGTGTATAGGTAAACAACCCATATTAAAGTCCCGCAGGCTGTAATTATGGTAAACTCTGATCTCTGGTCAGTATCAGGGTCTGCACGCACACGTGGTGCAGCCTCCACAGGTTTGACGTTATTTTTGCCACTGAAAAGAAAACAACCACTAATCTTGATCTTTTATCTTCATGGTTCTTTAACTAAACGTCCACATGATATCAGTCCATAATTATACCTACATGTGCGTACAGTATACCATATGATATGTCATCTCATCTTCTGATGTCATTTAACAAGATTTCAAGTGCATATGTACTGGACATTTTAAAGTACATATGCATGGTGCACATAGTATATTTGAAATAATAACTTAATAACAATTTAATAATATATGTTCAACATGCAAAAAATAAAATTAGTGTAATCCAACAGAAAAAAAAAAACGGGTTAAAATCAAAATGACTTGCATGCTAGTGGGTAGTTTTTCATTCCATAAAAAAAATTATCTCCAATCTCATGCAGGAACTGTAGAGCAAAACCACCATTCAACCGACAAAGTACGACCAAGTCACTGCGGTTGGTTCGATCGTAAAGAATAATAGTAGTTCTGAGAATTTAGCAAGGTGTTGGTTGGCACATATAATAAAACACGGATATAACAGTTTCAAGTAAACTTCCTGGTATTCTGAAAAAAATTGATTTAACAACAACGCGTCAGGGTACCGGACGGATGGAAACGAATTCCGTAACTTGAGACGGTCTTTGAACCAGTCTAACAAAAAATAATGTGTAAATTTCAAACACCTTCTTCCTCCTTTCTCTCCTTCGGTGTTTTTGAAGTCCTTCGTTGCTTTTTTCGATTCTTCTTTTTCCTTTTTGTGAGTTTCTTTTCTTTTTTTAGAACCCATGGCGAAAGCTTACTCTCCCTCAAGCGGAAATCTTGGGAATTCCTTCCAAATTAGCCGCCATTTCTGTCATCGTAAGGGATGGACACGTAGATGCATATCAGGTTACATTTATATCAAAATCAATAATTGCATGGTACAGAATCCAATTAATATAACCAAATAATATAAAGGGGGGTTTCTATCATTATTGAATGAATACAAGTATCTTTACTTCTCACATATAACTTTGAAGCGATCGGGGGTTTTCCATTTCCACTTACGTTCCCCGGGCACATGCAAGGTCACCTAACGATGGCAGACAGAAAAACCGTGAGTGTCATCCATTATAAACGTATAATCGATCTGACTTGTAGTCTCCGTGATAAAAAATGACGTATTTTACATTATAAGGAAATATGTTATCAGATATGCATGCAGGACTATTTTATTTCGGTTTGTTATTTTTTATGAAAATGACGCAAGTTACCGATACAATCTCTGATAGTTGTCCTGCAAGGTCACACTCCCGTAAAATTGACGATGTAGACAGTGTTATCAGCGAAAAGGTTTGTTAAAATCAGTCTGTTTGTTCATTAAAACATTTAGCGTCGTGATGTCTGTTACGGATGCTGACAGAGAACCCCCGTCGTAGTACGTCATTAAATCCGTGTTCAGTGTGACAAATCCTCCGCAAATCCTGTCGTTATCAGAGTGACCCAGTATCTAGATTTAGGTTGCGGATTCCGCCACCACTGTATAAATACACACGTCATGCACACACTACACGCACAGTCAAGCTAGAGCACTACGTATCTGGATCCACATTTGCATAGACACAAACTTCAACGACATGGCATCAGTACTCAGCAGCAATGGTCTCATAAACAACAGTGAAGAAAATTTCACAAAATTTGTAAGTACTAATGCACTTTGAAATAAAATCGTGGAAATTGTTTTTTTTTAACTTTTTTTTCGCACAACTTGAAAATTAAATTTTTTGATACAGGACTCTTTCTAATATTGACAGGTGTGAATTATAGATACTGAAGCTTGAAAAAATTATTGGATTTACAGAACATTAAGTAGTCTGTTGAACTAAATATATACATGTATATTTTTCATAAATCAAAAAGTCCATTTTCGATTAAAAAATCTTTCAGTGAATCAATTTGGTACTATTAAAAGAAGTGTTAATGTATATTTGGGATATCCAAGGTTGATTTATAAATTTTGATTTGCTTGTACTGTACTAAAACATATTTTAGGTGGTTTGTCAAATTCGAACAAAATTTGCTTTGTGGAGGTTTGCAAAGACTACCATGTTTCAGTTATATTTAAGATAAGTCATTCAACATTATGTTTAAATTATACTTGATGCCAAGAAACTGGCAAAACTTCCTCATAAATTGCTTGCGTGGTGCTTGATGTAAAATGTGTGCTATCTCTTATGGGTGATAGCAACAGGTAATTAAGAGCCATTTGATCAGTTTGGTGTTAAATCAAAGCTGTTCAAACATAGGTGCAGTAAGTTACCAATAGATTCAGTGTTATTTCAGAGAGAAACTGTAAACATAATTCTTCAGTTGTGGATTTACATGTTTTACATAATAGTCTCACCAAAACCACGACTAACAGAATTCATTGCTATACATGCCAGTACAAATACTTTCATGTATTTTGTAAAGCCATGACTTTTATAGTGATTTTGCACATTTCTGATTTAGAATTTAAATGCATTATTTTCCTCAAACTGTTGGTTTTATAAAACAAACATTAGTTAAGGTCTGTTATTTATCCATTTTGCCGGTCAATAATATACAGTCCAAAATGATTCAAAACCTACTAGAATATTTCTCTTGGCTTAAAATTAAAATTCTTTTACCACATAATTGTAAACAGGGGGCTTAATAAACTAAAATCCAAATATATCAAATTTTTTGAGTGTAGCATTTGTATTACATTGTATTGTATTGTATTGTATTGTATTTGGCTCTTCATTAGATCTTTATTAGAACTTAGATGTTCTGATTATTTCTTTTTGTTTTTCATGCAAAGTGTGCCTAGTCCATTCATACCTTGAAATGTGCATTATCTAAGTTTTATGAAAGTTATTGTCAGTTGAAATCAAAAACATAAATTGCATAACTTGTAAAATGTGTTTTAAACTTTAGTATGAAGCAATATCATTAAAGTGTTATCAGTAATCTTGAATTGTTAATTTTATTATTATTATTTATTTTTATTTTTTGCATCATTTAAGGGAGCATTCACCAAAGGCCACCAGCGCCGTGGAAGTGAAATCGAATTCCAGGAGCTGACTCACCGAGATGCTAAGCAGGCAATGGCAAAAGAGCTGTACAAGCTCATGAACACAGTGCCTACAGGAACTAAGGAGGTAAATTCACCATAGAGAATTGAAAAGAAAAGGGACAGCAGAGAGGCAAATTTTGGTTTTGCTTTTGAGGCCTTAGGTGCAAGAGTGAACATCCCTTTTGAGTGGAAAAGGTCCACAAAAATCAAAACTGACTGTAATAATATGAATAATCTAATTTGGTTTTAAGATATTTTTTACAAAAAAAAAAAAAAAAAAAATCAAACAATTATATGTTACATTTATGACATGTGCTCACATTTGGCTTTTGTAACCATTTCCTTTACTAGATATTTTCATCAAATTGAAAAAAAAAGTAGGTTTGGATAAAAACTTCTTATGTTTTATGTTTTATGACGAGGCCATATTTTAAGCACCAAAGGACTAGAAATTTTAACAAGACAGCTGGTATCATGTTCATGTTATCATGATGCAATTTAAGTGATAAGTACTTAATGTGCTTATTTTAATGTGTCTAGAAAGATATTTTGTGTAGTTCGGGGATACCCAAATGCCTGTCCATAAGTAACTTGAGGTTAAAAGTGTCTGTGACATTGAAGAGAGGACATTGAGAGGACTAATGTTATCTTATGTAAATGGGAATGTGATAATAAAGAAGGGGCTGATAAGATAGATGAAATGTTTGTTCAGTTTCAAAGGGCTGTCCTATTCCAATATCTTTTTATAGTTACTCCTCAATCAGATATGCTTTTTGACACATACTATAGTCCCTGCAGTTCAAACATTTCAAGTCATCTATCTAACTCATTATTAGCAAAACATGTTGGGAAAAACAATTAAAGGGTTTTGTCTGAATTTTAATGAAAAGGTACTTAAATTTACAGCTTTATATTAAATTTACAGCTTTATACACTGTAGCCCTGTGGAAATTTTTGTACTTGAAACAAGAGTGGTTAAGGACCCAGGTTTATTTATTTCCCTCATAAGATTTGCCCCCACACATTATTTGTCAGATAGAACTGACTGCCACCTGAAATATGGATTATTTATTGCTTGTAAGAACTTAAAGCTTAAATAAATGATTAAACCTATAATAAACAGCTGAATAGTTTATGGAATGGTTTTGAAATTTTTATGAAAGCTTTCTTCTCTTATTAGCTACATTGATTCAGATGATTGAATGGTTTGATTCTCTGTTTGGGTAGCATTAGTTATGTTTGACCTAGATCTCTTACAGGTTAAGTCACTTTATCTGTCCTTGAAGTACATTTTGTAAATGCCCATCTCATTCTCAGTACATCAAACAATTAGAACTTTTTATGTTTTTATGATTTGGTTGACATCTGCACTGAAAAAAGAGCTCATTTCACTAAAGTGCCAAGTAGAGAGATTATGCTTGAACATAAATTCAGTCTATTTTATTACAGAATTTAAATGGTGTCACCTTTCATGACACTACATGTAATAAAGATAAGGGAAGGTTATATTTATATAACAATCTGAGTTAACTACTTTAGTACATTTATCTTGCTAAGAAATTCATACAAATTACCGAAAAATTAATTTAAAAATTAAATTCAGTTTTTGTTCATTATCTTTTTTCATAGACAGTTGAAAAAGAATTGGATGGATTCCAGCGGTTATTTGACCGTTTCATGGTGGAAACAGGACCATCAGTGGAATGGGAAGACATTAAACTTTTACCCCAAGAAGCAGTAAGTACAGAGAATGTTTACAAGAATCCCAGTAAAGAGCCAGGATGCAAGTTGTGGTATTAGGCTGTATTAAAGAAGACTTATTATTTTGATAATAATTTGCGATGCTTCTTAGGGTTTGTATGATGGTCATATGGACATCTGAAAGAAGAAATGTGAGAAAATGAATCATTTATAGAGAAATTCTTTTTTTTTTTACATTTCATGATTTGTGATACAAGGTCACTTTTGATTTGTTCATAGAAGTTGAGAGACACAAATGTTAGTCTAGGACAATAAATTATTGCAAACCTGGAGTCTATACATGTCAAGTCTTAGTGGACATTAAAGCCATTACCTTTTGTAACTCAGAATCTAATTTGGTATATTTTTACCCATCCCTTTCATGATGAACCTCTTCTTACTACTGAAAAACACATCAGTCTAGTTCAGATAAAACACCATTGATGGCAGGGCTATCATTTTACTAAGTGACCAGTGGTCTGTTTTTCTGATTTATGACTGGACACAAAGACCCCAGATCTCTTGTTACCTCATTCAAGTGATTGATAGTAAGTAATTATACACTGTGTTCAAAGACTGAATTTTTGTAAAGCCATTCTTTATTGGCTTGGATTTAAGGGATGAAAATGTTAAATTTCTTCTTCACCAAACTAACCAAAAATTACAAGTTACAATGGAATGCCCCCCCCCCCCCAAAGAAATATTGGACATTTTGTTAAAAGGGGTACTGTATATGCTATCTGAAAAACAAAATTGCTTTTTCTTTTGTTAGTTTTCTGCTGCCCTGGGTTCACAGCTTA